CGCGTCGCGTGCCCTGTGCTTCCCGCGCTCACGCTTCCTCACGCGCCGTCACGTCGCTCGTCCGCCCCGACGTCGCTGCCGGTCTGCAGCTTTGACTAACCCGCTGGCGGTTTGTGTCCGGCAGTCTCCCTTGTTCCTGCTGTTCCTGGACGCCACGTGGCAGCTGCTGGAGCAGCACCCCGCCGCCTTCGAGTTCTCCGAGACCTACCTGGCCGTGCTGTGCGACAGCACGCGCATCGTGCTCTTCGGCACCTTCCTGTTCAACTGCCCGCACCAGCGCGTGCGGCAGAGCACGGTGAGTGTGGCCCGCGCCGCCCCGGGCGGACGCGCGGCGACCTGGAGACGCGGCACTCGGAACCGTCGCAGTGACCGTCTCGCGCTAACGAGTGGATTTTCCGAATCGAGTTACCTGAAGGTGTGAAAATCCAGGGAGTCGTTTACGAGCGAGCATCCTGTGTGCTTTTTCTCTAAGGTGCCCCGTTTGTCACAGACCCTTCAAAGGTCTAGAAAACCTTAAGCACCTTCTATTTTCATATTCATCGTCCGAAGGGTAGAGAGATCCTGCTCGAGGACGTTGACTTCCTAGGTCGGTAGAGTAAAAGTTGGATGAGGCAGATTCCTTTTTCCCTCGAGGGCTCTGGGGGGAGCAGATTTCTGACGTGAAACGCGGCGCTGGCTCACAGTCCCCGGAGTCGCCCCGCCGCCCGCCGCCACTGGGGCAGCCTCGGCAGCTGTGATTCTCTGCCACAGTCCGTCGTCCCAGGGAAGGGGTCACGATGACTGAGGGTCTCGGCCAGACTTGGAACTCGCTTCTCGTCGCCGCGGCTGGAACTGTCCAGAGTCACACGTTCTCTCTCACCCCCATTTGAACCCGCAACAGAAATAGCTGCTAAGTGCTGCAGTGACCATTCAGAGAAACAGGGCAGCGCTTGTGGCCTTTGGTGGCCTTGCTAAGACGGGGCTGGCCTTCCCAGCGAGCGGAGTGGCCTGGGGGACGCGGAGCTCGGTTCGTCCTCTGGGACGGCTCCGTGTGACCAGCAGCAGCACCGGGGCCTCACGTGCGAGGTAGACGCTTTGTGAACGCCAGAGCGTTACGCTGGTCACCGTAAAGCGACGAGTTACCGGGATCGTGGGTGTCAGAGATGAAACGCAGCGGCATTGAGGAGATGCTTTTGTTCGGGCTGTCGTGACGGGGAGGACTTCGTCCCCGAGGAGAGGACAGGAGGGCCCGGGTGGTCACGGAGGCCGCGGGCGATGGGAGGGAGGGGCGCGGCCCCCCTCGGGCTGCGAGGCCCCTCTGTGCTCAGCAGGGGCGTTTGGGTGGGACGTTTGGGACGGACAGGGACTGTCACAGAACGTTCTGTGCTCCGAGAGATGCCTCCCTCTCCACCAGCACCGCTGAGGGCGGTGACAGGCTCAGGGCGCCGAGGCGGGGAGACCGTTTGTGGGTCCTCGGGCACCGGGATCGTGCCGGTGCCCCGCTTGCGGCGAGCTGGGCCTCGCGGGCGGCGTGTGCGGTCTTCGCTGCCCTCGCTGACCTCCCTCACTGTGCGGCCGCAGGCCCCGCGTGCACACAGACGCGGTCTGCGCCTGCAGCGCACACGGGCCGGGAGCTGGGCCGGCTGTGACGCGCGAGCACGTGGCTGAGGGCCCCGGGACCCCCAGTTCGTGCTGCTGCTGCGTGGCCGGGTTCCAGGTGTGCTGGGAGGCGGCCGTGCAGGTGTGCACGTGGGGGACAGCGCGGAGCTTTCTGTGCTGCGTCACCCCCCTGCCTGCCCGGGCTCTGGCACGGCGTGTCTCGGCTCGGCTTTTTCAGAAGCTCTTCCTGGCACGTGCTGACGTGACCCAACCCCTCCCTCCCTGCTTCTGCGTGACAGCAGGACGACGGGGGTGGGGGCGCGTCTGTGCCTGTCTGGACGCGCCCGCCATCCTGATGCCCCGCACGCCCACCCTGCCGCTCCCGCAGGCCTGAGGCTCAGGGCTCCCTGTGCCCATTCTGAGCCACTTGGATGGTCAGGTCCCGTGTGAGGAAGATCTGTTCACCTTTACGTTAGTCTTTACATTAAGGAAACGGAAACCGTTTTCTGTATGTTTTCCTAAGGTCGTTAAAACAGGTCAGGCTCTGCGTTCCACTGGATTCTAACTCGTAACAACACCGTTTTATAAAGCAAACGGTCTGTTTCCACCTGTGTGCATGCGTGGTAAAGTTTCCAATAACTAAAAAAAATTTTCAATGCATTTGGCGCTTTCACGAGTTGGGTGTTTCTAGCTTGGCACAGAAGGGTGTTTTGTGATACGTCCGTGCTGTTAGGTGGCCGGCCGTGTCCTGCTGAGCCAACGCTGCACACGCGATGCCCGCAGCGGCCTCGTCCCTGTGGCGCTGCCTTTCCCAGTAACCTTTAGTCTCGGCCTCTAACACCGGAGAAAGTATTTTCCTGTGGAAAACTCGGAGAGTCCTGAGAGGTGTGAGCAGAAAACAAGGCTCAGTCATTACCAGCATCCAGAGGCTCGCGATTTGGGGGAGCGAGCGTGTGGCCTGCTGCCAGCCTGCCCCCGTCATGCGCCACGGGGCCCCCTCCTCCCCAGTCGCTGCGGCCGCCACACAGTGCTCCCTGAGCCGGGCTGCTGTCCCCACCGCGCTGTGCCACCTGGCTTTGCCGTGGCGGGAGGACCGGGTCACTGGGTCACCGGGTCACCAGGCTGCAGGAGCCTGAGCGGGGCCAGAACGCGGCTGCTGTCAGCAGGCCCCGCCCCTCTGGAGCGCAGTCGCATCGTGGCCTGGGCCAGGCCCCGGGACCACGGCCCAGCGGGTCCCCTCCTCCCGCTGCGGCCCGGCTCCAGGAACTGCCGCCCCCGGTCCCGCGGGCTGCGGCTCTCCATAGACATGGCTGTGACGGGCGGCGGGGGTTCCGTCCAGAGGTGGCTTTGCTGGTCACGCCTGACAGCTGGTCGCGTGAACGTGTGATCACGTGCCTGACAGGTGAAACGCTGCAGCTGTAAAACAACCGATGTGTTTGTGGCGCCACCGCAGAGACTTCCAGCGATGGCCCTGGTGTCTCGGGGAGTGGACCGCTGCCCTCACTCACGCAGGGTGCGAGTGTCCTTCTGCCCGAGGAGCCGTAGTCTGTCCTCTGGGAGCAAAGCAGGCCGCTCCGGCGGGCCCGCCGTGGCGCTGGCTCTGGACTCGAACTAGGTGACTTTGGACTCCTGCGAGGGCATCTTCACCCCGGCCCCTCTTCACACACGTTCCAATATTTTCCTTTGCAGGAATTTGCTATGAGCAAAAACATCCAGCTGGGGGACGAAAAGGGCTTAAAGTTCCCCTCGGTCTGGGACTGGTCTCTTCAGTTCACGGCGAGGGACCGCACGCTTTTCCGCAACCCGTCGTACGTCGGGAAGAGCGCGCCGCGCCTGCCGACCGGCTCAGCGAAAGCCTCCAGACGGGCCAAGGTGAGTGGCAGGTGCGCCGACGGGAGCGGCTGCCCTCACTCCCCGTGGCCAGCCATCCCGGCCGGAGCAGAGCGAAGTTAGGGCACGTCCCAGCCGGCTCTGCCGCTGCGGGTCCCGAGGGGTCTCTGCTTTTTGGGGGAAGAGGCTGCACCTGTCTTTCTCAGCGGTGTCTGGGGCCCACGAAGCTCTGGGCAGCATCTGCGTCAGCCTGTCACTGCTCTGAGCCCGGGCGGCCGCCCTGAACCCCCCCATCCTGCCTGTTCTCTCTAGAATCAGCCAGGTCTAGGTTTTTTCCTAACCCAGAAATCTTAGAAATTTGCACGTAGGCAAATTAAGGAGCCGACGTGCCGCCTCCCACCGTGGGCGGGCTAGTTGCATGGGCAGAGTCGAGGCCACACAGAGAGCGTTCCCTGGGGCGGGCACGCCGCCTGCGCAGCCACGGTGGCCTTGCCGCCGCCCCGCTGTCGCTGGGCGGGGAAGGCCCAGGCGGCAACGCCACCTCTGTCTCCTGTGCAGAAAACCTACAGCTCCACGCTCAGGGGGCCGCCACCCTCGCTGGAGAACGGGCTCGCCCGTGACCGGGAGTCGCTGCTGCGGAGAAACTCGCTGACCGTCAGAGGCAGACCGGACGCTCCGCAGCACGGCCACGGCCAGAGCGGCGGCCCGAGCGCCGAGCAGTTCTTCCAAGAGTGGTCGGCCAAGCCGCCGGACCCGCACGGGGTCCTCCTGCCCTGCCTCTCGGGAGCGCACATCAAGCTGTGGAAACTCTGCTACTTCCGCTGGGTCCCCGAGGCCCAGATCCGCCGCGGGGGCTCCATCACCGCCTTCCACAAGCTGTCGCTGCTGGCCGACGAGGTGGACGTGCTCGGCAGGGCGCTCCGGCAGCAGCGGGCCGGGCCCCTCGAGGCCTGCTACGCGGGGCCGCCCCAGAGCAGGATGTACTTCCGGGCCAGCGGCCCGCTGGACGCCGCGGCCACCCCGGACTTCCTGTCCTCCTCGTTCCCCTTCTCCCCCGTCGGCAACCTGTGCAGGCGCAGCATCTCGGGGACCCCGCTGAGCAAGTTCCTGAGTGGGGCCAAAATATGGCTGTCCACGGAGACGCTGGCCAGCGAAGACTGAAGCCGCGGGGCCCGCACAGCGCGGGGCCGCGGGCTTGTCCCGCGGCGACGGCCACGGTCGGCCTTCGAGGCGCTCGTGGTCTCCACG